TACTTGTATAAGATGAAAGACAGAAGGTGTATAAGAGATACCTATGTAGTGTGGCTTATGAACACTGTTTGCCAAGTACGTGTAACGCTTGTAGCGGTCTTGATTCCACTGCATTATGAAGTCATGAATTTCCATGACAAAATCATGAATCATTGTTACGATTTCATGGGATGGCAAGTTTTTTAATTTCATGATTTTTTATTCATGAAAATGGAATCGGATTTGTTTCCGTGCAGGTATGCAATTTAAACCCGTCTGGAGAATGTGATGCAAGCCCGCCGCATATTGAGCGACGGGCAGAAATGCTCAAACTCAGATCGAAACATCTTTCAAGCCACTCTCGCGCCGGGAAGCTGATCAGCTTCGACCTCGATCATGCTTTCGATCGGGTCCGGCACTCTTTCCTCTTCGGGACCATGCGCTCGCTTGGTTTCAACCAGCATCTCATCACTCTGCTCTCCCAGATTGCAAGTCGCTCCACCTCTCGCCTGCTCGTGAATGGGCACCTCTCACGGCCGATCGACATCTAACGCTCGGTGCGGCAGGGGGACCCGTTGTCCATGCACCTCTTCGTGCTGTACCTCCATCCACTGATATGCAGACTCGAACAAGCGTGCGGGAATGATGTGCTGGTTGCGTATGCCGACTATATCAGTGTAATCGTCACAACAGCAGCACAAATCGAAGCAATGAATATACTGTTCACCCGTTTCGAGGAGCTGCTAGCGCCAAGCTGAATGTGGGGAAAACTGTTGCCATTGATGTTGGTTTTTGCGAGGGAAACCGCATCGACATCCCATGGCTACGCACGGCCAACACGGTGAAGATCCTTGGCGTGATTTTCGTCAACTCGATCCGGCTGATGACGACCATAAACTGGGATGCAGTGGTTAGCAAATTTGCGCAACTGATATGGCTCCAATCAACGCGGATTTTGACTCTGCATCAGAAAGTGGCTTTGCTGAATACGTTCGGCACCTCCAGGATCTGGTATCTTTCATCAATTCTACCACCATTCAGTGTACACATGGCGAAAATTACATCGAGGATGGGCACCTTCCTCTGGAGTGGGATGATCGCTCGCGTTCCGATGGCACAATTAGCGCGAAACCGCGAACATGGTGGACTAAAGCTGCAACTTCCGGCGTATAATTGCAAGTCGCTCGCTATCAACCGGCACTTGAAAGAGATCGAATCCCTTCCCCACTATAAATCCCTTCTTCTGCAAAATCCCCGCCCAGCAATAACAATAGACCTCCCCGACCTGAAACTGATCCTCTCAAACTTATCCCAAATTCCCCCTCAGATTCGACAAAACCCCTCCGCCGATCAAATCCACCAGCATTTCGTGGCACAGACGGAGCAGCCCCGGGTGGAACGAAACTGTCCGACAAACGACTGGCCATGCACGTGGCGAAATATTGGACCCAAGAATCTTTCATCGGAACAGAAAAGCAGGCTGTACGTTGCAGTTAACGAAAAAGTTGAGCACCGAAAACTTTGGCTTGTGATGCGGAGAGTTGACAGCGAGTATTGCTTACACTGCACCAACCAAGCAATAGAAACACTAGAACACAAATTTTGTACCTGCACTCGAGTTGTTCCAGCTTGGGAAATCCTGCAGCGGACAATAGCTACTGTTCTCAATGGGTGGAGACGGCTGTCGTTCGAGGAGCTAATCAGACCGGCTTTGAAGAGAATCAACAGAACAAACAAACTAACAATATTAAAATTGTTTGTAAAGTACATTAGCTATATAAGTAGTTGTAATGGAGTGATAAATTTACAAGCACTGGAGTTCGAACTCAATTTTGATAGTTAAAGAATAATGAATGTGATACATTCTTTGACAATAAAACCAAATTAAAAAAAAAAAAAAATGTAAACATGGGCACATAGTGGTATAAGAGCTATTTTGCTGACCTTTATACAGCAATATTGTAAAGCAAAGCAATGAAATCTAATAATGAAATTAGAAACATTTATAAGACGTTTAATAAAGTATTTTATTAAATCAGTTGAAAACAGTAAAATTAAAGCGTCAATGTATGTGCAAATTACACTTACTCAGTTTGTTATTTGATCACACTTTTTGTTCTGAATCAGGATACCAGTCAACGTTAATAAGTGGAATAAATGGGCATCTATCCAACACAATGAGTTTTTTTCAGCACATACACTGTTATGCAGCATTGTTTCAATATGTATGCTTATTTGTGACTTTGAATTGTTTGTTCGGAAATTGGGTCCTGCTTAGCCTCCCAACATTTGAACTACTTTAGTAAGAAACTGACTTGGCACAAATCATTTAAAGTTTATATGGGAATTACTATGGAAAAACTTATGTTTTTGTTCATATCTATCTAACAATTCACCACATAACTATGCTTTTAAAAATTATAGCTGTGATTGTAGAAAATTTTCTCAGCTACAACTTTGTTCAAAACTTTTCAATCACATGTAAAGAACAAAAGTTATTAATGATTCAAGTCACTGATGTCTTATAATTATGCTCAATCAACTGTTCAGCAGGCAACATTGGTGTTTTTGGGGCGTATAATAAAGTACAAAAATCATGGCTACTATGTCACTCTGCAGAATACAGTGTTGCCCACAAAACAGCTGCTTAATCATGCCATAAGATTATCTATCTCTTAAACAATTAATAACTGTTTGGCTTGACGCTTGGCTGAAAAACTATTTTCGGCAAAGTTGTAGTTGAGAAATTTTCCCATGAGAATAACAAAATAACTTGTTAACAGTACAATTTGGAAAAAAGGTTACAAGACAGTGAACAAAAAGTTTGGTTTTCCTATAGTAATTCCCATATAAACTTCAAATGGTTTGTGCCAAGTCAGTTTCTTTTCAAATGAGTTTAAATTTTGGGAGGCTAATCAAGACCCGAGTTGTAACTGTTTGAGCACTGTGGAGCGAACAAATTTTGCATCAGTCTAGTGTCCATAACTTAATTTTTTTTATATCTTTTGGAATTATTGCTTGAAATTACTATTAACATTTACTTTGTTTATTTTTAATTTCTATCAGTAGTGCCGTTGCCGTGCTACATTTTTTGAACAATTCAAAGACGCAATTTAAAAAAAAATAAAAGATCTCAATGGTTAAATTTTAGTAAGGATGTGAATCATTGCCCATAACAAACAATTTTGCAAAGTTTCGTGAAAACTGGAGAAGGTCGAGATCTGATTCGTCATTTGGTGCGGAACTGCTCTAGCATGTCTTCAACCGCGTTTGTTGCAACAAAGTTTGCTAACAATATCGCATCGCATTCTTTTCATCGTTCGGATCAAACTATATTGCAGAGGGAGTTTAACGTTGTAGTCATCACGGGCGTTTTGTCTTTGTTTGCTGGTTGGATTTCCTGACTTACAGCTTCAGTCTTCTACTGTTCAATATCTATCCAATATCTATCGTCAATTAAATTCCATCGATACAGGCATAAGAAAATCCTTTCAAGAGAATTGCTGGTCACAAAATTGGATAATCCTCGATGGACAAATTTCCATCATTCGCATCGAAAGGGTCACGCTACATGCTACGCAAATAAGAGCTTTACATGACTTCACACCTCTTCAAATACCATCGCACCGTTGTTGCGTCGGCGTCGTTATCAGCGATAAATTATTCGCACCATCGGGCGGCGCGGCTCTCATCTCATCTCTCACACTCACACACCACCGGGGAGTGACTCGCGTAATCGCGGCAAATTATTCCACGTACCATCACCATCCGTCGTCGGTCCGTCGGTCGCTCGTCGTGTGTGACCACCAATAATGCCAGCGCTAGGCGTCCATCCACTTCACGGTCGCGAATCTTGAACGTCACGAATGGGAACAAACACGATGGGCCTAATGGGAAGGTCCAACCACATGCAACTGCACAGTTGCGACGCATCATTTCGCTAGTTTCCAGTGTCATCAACAGGATCATGACCAGAAGAGTAATGCCCGGTGTACCTACTCTTTTGAATAGGATGGAACATGCTCTGCTTTGTTCTAACGGAATGTGCAAAAAAGCCCACGGTATAACAATATTTCAAGACCGGAGGAGCCACTCGGAGACTCACGTTCAACACACTCCCTCTGATGTAGCGAATAATGCTTATCCCGTATCCCAGCGTTTCATGTCTCTCGGCGCAGCTGACAATCCATTCCAACTGACACGGTTTGTATGTGCATTATACGGGTGATGATGGCAGCGCTGGAGGCGGGGGAGATTTGTATAATTTTGTCTACAGCCGAAATCTGTAATGCAATAAATATTTCGCCCCTTAATTTGACAGCGCTAATGTCGTAAGCACACTGATTTATTTGCCCACTGAACGTATCCCTGCTATGGGGGTGTATTTCCAAACCGAAAAGTGTGTAGATGCAATTCTATCAAGAACATGGAATGGAACTGGGGTACCGAATCCGACAAATCTGTTTGTAATGGATCTGTTTGATAGGATGAAATATAGTGTTGTTGAAAGTTTTATGGTCTTTGCATGAACAACATAACTTGCTTTGAATGATTTATCTATGATCGTTCTTGTGCTACCTAGCTTTGACGAGCTTAAACGAGCTTTCACCTGCTCTCAACTTGGTGTTCTTCAACACTGTGGCATGCTCAGTCGAGAAAATTTCCAAAACCGAAAGATTCCCTCGACTCACTACCTCCGGTTTGGTAATACCGCACCTTTACTGACTAGACTAGCCTTTCTATGATGATATCTTTAATCTTTTTATTATAAATTTCAAATAACGACTAATATTTTTTTATCATAAAAGCCTGATTTATCACACCTAAATCTTTAATTTAAGACTAATCTCATACTCAATGGCAAACCCTCTGATCAAATTGTAGTATCACCGATGATTACTTGCATTGTTTGCATTAACTCACCAGATAAACTGAACAAACACAAAACACATGCATCACGGAGACCTACTAGCCATCCGCTTGAGCCGTGTCGATCGATTCCGATCAGTTCGTATTGCGATACCAGCTAACTCAGAACAATGCAAAGCGCCATCGCCTTAATAGCAGTACTTTTATTCCATCTCACGTCCAGCCATTACGTGCCTCCCTGGAACGGCTGCTACACGCTCGGTTGCTCCACTCAACAAGGTTGCGTCCCGTGGAACTTCCATCGGTATCCATGCTACCGTACGTGCTACTACAACCGCAACCACGCGCCATCCCATCCGAGAAATAAATGCTACAAAATCACCAACGCGGCCACCGGCAAGTCACTGGCATCCAGCGATGTGCTTGATCCCGCGAACAAACTGAAATACGCGACCGTGTCCATCAACCCACCGGCCAACTACCTGTGGAACTTGGAACCCACCTACGGAGGTGTCGTCTACATTCAGAATGTAAACAAGCTGGAATTTCTGAAAGTGGACCCTTCCAATAACGGAACGTATTTGGTACTGAACGAGCCTCTGGATCGCGCCTTCCAGTTTCGGGTAATCAATTCCAAAGAAGGAGCTTCGAAGATCCAGTTACAGTCAGCCCTCAACAACGGTTTCCTATTCGTGCAGAACATTGGCCAAGGAGGCAGCACCGTTCAAATCACTTTCGACCCATTCGCAAACTACTTTCAAAGCCTCTGGAGTGTAATGGAATTTTATTGCTAACACCTTCAATAAACATTCGATCATTCACAAGTGTACCCTTCGAATCGCCACAGACACTGCGGCAGTCCACAACGGGCCGTAGCTCGAACCTTTCCGTCCATTCCTCCGGCACAGGAAGCCGCATACAACGAACTTTTTCCTACGCTGTTGATGATTTCCCCCGGTTTGTCATGCAGTCGAAACAGGAATCTCTTGGCGGGAATGGCTTTCGCTGACTTCGATTGACCCATGGCGCGCAGATAGGCGACGTCTTCGTTCGGGAGCAACGTGAGAAACAGTTCCGTCTTGCGATTCTTGATGTAGAAATCACCGGCCTGCGTTGAGATGAGGTTCCACAGAGCTGACTCCGTTCGGTTGTACGATAACCAGGCGTGCTGTTGGTCGTCCAAGGTTGGCAAGCTCGCCGGTTGAAGATACTGGCCAGTTTGGGTGTTGATGATGTGCCAACAGTTTTGTGCAAAGGTTGCAGTAACCAGCAGGAGACTGGCTGTGACTGTGCAGCCGACGTGTAACATGGTGGAAGGGGTGATGAACTGGAGAGGGCTGTTTGGTGATTGCGATATTTATATAGGTCTAAAAGCAGAACAGAACATAAACATTTAAGGTTTTATGGGTTTTGTTATCAACTTGGTCTGTTCCAGGAATGAACGTTTTTAGATCGGACACATTTCATGTGGGTTTACACATTTGTTTTTAGAATACACATTTTCATTTCAAAATTAAGTGGGGTGCATATTAAAGCTGCGGCTAGATTCAATAAATTTCTGTCGCATTATGAATAATGTATTGTTCTTTCATACATCGCGTTTCTCTCCTTTGGCTTTATTAAGTCCACACTGGGAATTTACAGCGGCCCTCAATTTGTTTTCGAAAAAAAAAACCTTGTAACTCTAGGATCCAGCAGGCCTGGGTTCAATCCCAGTCGGCGCCGCTGGGATGTTCTGAGGCATGACATCTCTGATCACGCCTTCGGGCCGTTGGTCCCGGTTCATGAGTTGATGGGTCGATGGGTAGGGTCCAGGTGTGAGAGCTGCCTCCCTGGGGTCGGTAGCATTGGTGGTCAGCCAGTGTTGCCAGATATACCGATTTATCGGTATTTGTTCCGATTTTTGAACATAATACCGATATACAGATAGGTTCCTCAGAATACCGATTTTTGAGATTATTGATGATGATTATTACCTGCCCGCACTCATGTGTCAGAAAAAAACTGTTGTGATAGACTTTTATTTTTTGGAATAGGGTTTTTGATCTAATTTCCGTCCTACTAAGCACAACCCGCGCTTCACTTCCTCTTTTCTGAACGAGTTTAAACACAAAAAGGAAAATTTATAACCTATATATAAATTTATTCACCTTTTCATACGTATCGTTGGATTTGATAAAGAGTCACAAATCGTTGAGATATTGTTTAAAATCTAATACTGCTTCTTGATTCTAAATTCGTTCTATGAGTTTCAATTCCGTCCTAACGCACTGAAACGTCATTAGATTTTCTTCGTCCTACGGATAAACGTAGAAAAAGGGGATTCGCTAGGAGCGCTTCTTTTGTTTTGAGAAAAATGAGCGTAAATATTCATACGATGTGCTCTTACAGGATTTATGTAGTAGTTTATGAACTAACGCATCGGAACAAACCTATTATTGATTTGTGAACGGTGAAATCATTGATATTATTGATCTTTTCTGATCGATAGAACGGAAATGGGCGATTACGACGAAGTAGCGCTCTACCCTATGTTAAACTTTTTGAGTCTTGCTTTAAAAATATTTTATGCTTTGTACTCTTTCGACTAGTGCTTTCATTTCCTCTCTGTTTTTGGCTAGTCAGGAATCAAGAAACAGCTGACGGCTCATCCCGATCATTGCTGGGATTCGAAAAATAATTTTATCTTTAATGTTACCAAAAAGGTATATCAGAAAGTTAATTTTTTAACTTTATGATCTTCCCTTGGAAGTACCCTAGCAGCACACTTGTGACCTGAACAGTTGTGGTTACTTATATGTAACTTGATCCAGTTACAATCAAGCTACTGCAACTTATTGTGATGGTAGTTTGCTGGTTTTGTATCTTCTAACTGTTCCCTGTTACTTTCTTTCACCTTATTTTGCGATTCCTCCCGGAAAGGACTTTCGACTTCCCTCAGTGGAAGCTTCTACCGATTTCCACCGGAAATTTCTTTTGACATCCTCCAGCAATCTTTCTTCCGGAGTATTTTTGTCAACTTCTAGAAGTTTCTTCGAATGTCCCCAAAACCTCTGGCTACACCGGAAGAAGCTCCCGATTTTCTTAAGAAGTTTCTTCCAAACTATCTCAGGAAGTTTCTTCCAAACTACCGCAGGAAGTTTCTTCCATCTTCTCCAGGAAGCTTCTTTAAACTTTTACCGAAACTTTTACCCAAAAATTTCTTTCGTCCTCCTTTGGAAGTTTCTCAATGCGATTCTTCCGGAGGTTTTTTCCGACTTATATTGGAAGATTTTCCCGAGATTTCCTTGGAAACCACTATTTCTGGAATTTTCTTCCGTTTTCCGAAACCGTTCTGGCTTCCTCTGGATGTGTGATCTGATTTTCCTCGAAAGGCTCTTTAAATTTGCCCCGTTACTCTGTATTTTACTTGGAAGTTCCTCTAAGTTTTTTTGAGTTTTCCTACTGTGTCGTATACAACATATGACTAGACTAATTTTGCATAGCATTTGCAATGTAAAATTAGACGAACTTTGCTTTGTATTCGGGGTACTCGTATGCAACGTATATTAGTTATAAGTCAGGTAACATAGGAACTTTCTACAAACTTCCTCCAGAAAAACTTATTTCTTCTTTTTCTTTCAGAAGCCATTCTTAGTCCAGAAGTTCAAATTTTTGCTTTCAAAAACAGCAACAACACAAAATTAATTAAAATTATAATACCGATAAATACCGATTTTTTTAAACCATGGATACCGATAAGCCCGAACAAAATCTGGCAACGCTGTGCTCAGAACGGAAAACAAGATCGACGGAAAACAAATCAAGGAGAAAATTTCGATAAGGTAATCACTAAGGCTAAAGTCTGTTCCAGTTAGTATTTGGCCACTTCTTTTTAATTACTGTAGCGCCTTTAGTTGTCGTAGCAAGGAACTATTGACAGCGTTTTGATCCGGAAAGTTGTTTATATAGTAGTAAAAATTTCATCAGGATTTTTATACTTGTTCAAAAGTTAACGAAGATGGAACGTGATAGAAAAAAATTCTGCACACTCACGCGCAAAATCCAACGTGGTCGAGAGGAATGATTGCAAAGGTTCTCAAATCTCCAAAATCGACTGTAAATACCGAGCTTAAACCGGGAAACACTATCGTTGGATCGTGCAAAACAAAACAAACAAAGAAGTGACCGAGAACTACGAGCGAAGGTCATAAGGACAGTCCAAAAGAATCCTGGGACCTCAAGTCGTCAAGGGCGTAGCCAGTTTTCGAGCTAGGGAGGGGCGAATAAAAATTGTCTATGGAAAATTTGGCCGAATATCATTTCACCGAAAGCCTTTGTGTTGCTGAGTTTAAGGGAGGGGGCAGTTTGGCAAAAAGGTTCAGAGCGGCAAACAGTACAGTTCGGTGAATCTGTATGCGAGAAGGTTTTCTGTCGTACCATGCCAGCAAACATCCCAACAGGATTCTGTAACAAATCCTGGTTGCCAAAAACCTTGCGAAGCTGTACGAGCAAGTTCTGACCAAGTATAACGGATGGACTATTAATGGACAACTTTACAAGGAGGAATGCCTCCAGAACATAATTTTGCCGTTCATTCAATCACATGAAGGTCCCGTAAAGTTCTGGCCTGACTTAGCCAGCTGCCATTACAGCCGCGATGTCATAGAATGGTATAAGCAGAATAATGTCAATTTTATTGAGAAAAGTATCAATCCACCCAATTGTCCAGATTTTCGGCCCAATGCAAAATTTTGGGCAATTATCAAGCGCAAATTGAAGAAATGTGGCAAAACAATCAATACACCATCTGATTTGGAGAAGTGGTGGAAAAGAATGGTAGATGAGGTTGACAGTACTACTACTACTACTACATGATGAGAGGTATTCCGCGAAAAGTTCGAAAATTCATCCGAAAAGCTGACGAATAATTTGTGTTGTATTTTTCCCCTAAAGCTTAATAAAAATCCTACAAAATTATACATTTAGCGTTTTGGTACTTTATTTCCCCTTGGATAAATTATGTATTTTATTTATTTATTTATTTATTTATTTATTTATTTGTCGTCAATCAGTGTAGACCGTTTTACAATTGTTGTCTTAAGTGCTATTTTTACAATTTTGTCTTTGTTTATATTTTTTATAATATGTCTTAAGAAAAAGTTAAAACATTACCAAACAACTTAAACGACTAGATTTAACATCATATGCGATTTAATCTGTAATAACAAATTCACTTTGAAAAGTCTTACGATGTAATCCGATTTGATTTGTGATACAGTACGATGGAAAAATGAATCATCGCATATAGGTCGGAAATTTGTATTCTATACGATTTAACTTAAACATAATGCGAAGCATGCCATTCTTATATGCGATTTTGACTTAAACTGTAGCAATTTACGACAGTGTCTGCACATTGCTATACGACTTCTGGTTGTCTGGGTACTTCTAGTTGACGTTATGCGACGAATTAAAATATTGCTTTAATTTAGTTTTTGTCATTGTAAAGTCAATGTTATCGCAGTGCTTATTATATGAATCCATCATTTGGTTCAAGGGTCCAAATTTGGCATAATTCGTACGATGACGATTTGTAGCAAATATATTTCTGTTTCGTAAATGCCTAGATGGTGTATATAAATTTAAGGATGACAATAGTTCTATTGAATCAATTCGATGTGATACGATATCGTTTACGAAAGAAATCATAGCAAATTCACGACGTTCTTTTAATGTTTGGATATTTATGAGCATACACCGAGCTGTGTACACACTAATCGAGTCAGTACGGTTTTACCGAGTTTTTGAATTGCGGAACTGTTCGGTAAAAGTTTAAAAATCTGTGGAAAATTTATTAATGAGAAAATTTGTTCTGAACTTGTACATACTTAGTTCTGTAAACCCCATTTAATGATAGAAAATAAAATTGGTCGATTCCATTGATTCCTTACGGATAACGGTCATTTGAATTTTTACCGACTTTTTCAGTAATTCAAAAACCCAGTAAAAAAATACTGACTCCTGTAAAAAAATCTTAGTGTGTAAGATGGCAGAGGAAATACAGTCCAACCTAACTTGCGGAGTGCATACAATAGAAACTGCTTTTGAACGGACTCTATTCTTTCTTCGTGTGTGATTGAAAAAGGTGACCAAACTATGCTGCAATATTCTAATATCGATCTTACATAAGCAATGTACAATGTTTTTATCGTATACGGATCGTGAAAGTTATAGCAGAAACGTTTTATGAAACCAAGCATGTTGTTAGCTCTGTTAATAATTGTGTTATAATGATCGGTGAAAGTAAGTTTTGAGTCCAAAATAACACC